CGTGATACTGGGTTGGCCCACCTCCACCGTGTTCTGCACCAGTTAGTGAAGTGACTAGGTGACAACAATTGGTGGAAAACGATTGGCACGAACCAGTCCAGAACCAGTATGATGCAGTCCTCCTGCTTGCCGGTCCCTGCGCCAAAGCCCTCCCCTGACACGCCCCATCATCCGCAGCAGACAATACTCTAGCACGGAAATGATGATTTTGCACTGTGTATATGAAACTGCTTCTGAGCGATTTCATTGGAATTATGATGTTTTGAAATATTATAGTTTAATTTCCAAGCCCATTTTCTAGGTCCTTTGTGCTTTTTGAATGTAGACTTTTTGTGTGTTTTTCATATTCCTTACTTGTTTTTAGCGAAATTTACCATTTTTCCATCGTTGTAACCCTTTTGGTCTCTTGTTTTGGTCGTCATGTAACACTTACCTTTTTGTATATAAATGAGTGCTCAGACGATTTTCGAGTGGTTACAGTTGGTATCGTCGCTATCAGTTGGGGCGGTCCGATGAATTCAGGTCTTCATGGAAGGGTAGTTATCGCAGTCAGTTATTCCCTTTTCGGGATGCAGCGCGCATTCGACATCCACACAGAGTCGTGGCAGTTTATCGTGCAATGTGGTCTATACAATGACTTGCGGAGGCCAGCCAATGGGCAACTCAGTGTTCCTATCCCCCCCAGGCGAATCTGGTACCAATTTTCCGTCCAGGAGGGTAGAAGGCTCGATGGCCTGGACGGGAGCTGGACCGGAATAGGAATCTGAATGCGTGGTGAGCGTACCGCTTCCCTCCACTTTCGCCACGAGGACGTCCTCCATTCTTTTGAAATGAACTTCATTAGTCAGGGCAAATTTTTTTCCACTGTTCGCCCTGCAGTTCTGTTTTTTAGATTTGAAATTCTTGCGTGGATCAAAAATGTGAGGGGTCCAAGCAGAGGGAGAGGCGTTTTTGCTGCAGAAGCAGGGGTGTGTCATGGGGCTGGGTTTGGCGCGGCCTTATCCCATTCTCCAGCCGTTGTTGAAGCCAACTAGCGACAACATTTGGTGGAAAACAGGTTGGCGTCGCGCCAAACAGCTTCCTGAGACGTCCCAGCACTTGAAGCGAAAACGGCCATAGTTACGGGTGCCAAGCGGCGTCCCATGAATTGCCATGGCTGTCGTGTCTGTTTTGCCTTGTCTTCCGGAAGTCCAAGGAGCACGCCGCTTTAATGTTCCATGGGAGGGCGCTGACAACTTACACATCATGGCCGTCTGCCCTAAGGCAGTTTTCAACTGCCTCTAATCCTTACAGAATTCATTTTAAGAGAACGACTCACTGACGAATAAGAAGATCTTGAATTACCCATTTCCACATGAAATCAAATTTGGCAACGAATTCTTGCTTTGCGTTGGTGAACCAAATCCGCTGCATGTACACAGCTATTTGTTACGGTAAGCCGTGCGTTAGAGGGCTTCGAGAGAAATGATGAACACCGTTATGCGGGGATTGAAGCAGAATAGCCTCTGCACGCAAATTACAAAAGAAAACCTGCAAACGAGAGCTGTAGCTCAAAATTGGTGAGAAATGGGGCTGAAATCAAAAACGCATTCGTGACACGGGAGTTGGCTGACCTCCATAGATAAGGTTTCAGTAAAGACTTTTCTCATTTTGAGGCTGAGACTTGTGGTTTTTGTGCACTATGAGAGTGCAGAAGGTACCCCTGAAAGACACTAATCCGAGTTATAACACGCATAGAACGCAAGGAAAATAAAATTACGAGTGATGGCGGCGGGAAGAGTTAGACGGTTTGACATCTGCAGACAAGTGGCTCAATGGAAAACACCGCTGTTCTGACGCATACCGCAGTGGTTTCACTCCTAGAGACGCCGTATTTTTGCCATGTCCCCATTTAAGCCATTCGTGGAGAACGTTGATACCTGCAATAATAAACACAGAACGGTTTTCTGATGATCTGAACCAGCAACCGATACGGACCAACCAAAAACGCATTTGGATGCGACCCTTTGGATCGCGGGTATCGGCGGTCTCAATGAAGGAACCAAAGGTTCCTCATTGGGACCGCCGTGCCGCGATCCAAAGGGTCGCATCCAAATGCCGCGAGGTCCGTCGCAGGCTCGCGATAAGCTG